CATTTTTAAGAGTAGGTAATTTGTGCTTTCTTCTGCATCTCTCTCCAGTATACCCTCTTCCTTTGTGACCTTGGATCTGTCAGCTATTTAAATGCTGCTTCTCCGTTAGCTGTAAAGCTTTTTTCTGTACTGGGTATTTTCCAGTATGGCGGCTATTTCACTGAGTCTTTACTTTGTAAGGGAGTCAATTCCTGAATATGTTGTCTCTGAAAATGTTTCTGTTGTTTATAATCCACCATTACATTTGTAAAGGCAACATACATTTATATAACATTGATATTCACCAGAAATTAATTATAGCAGATAATAATCCTAACATTTATAACCAAGCCATTGTTGGTTATACAACTGTTGAAAAATATTGATTTTTCAATATTGATTTCTTGATTTCTTATATGGTCTTATGCCTGAAATATTTACTATATGGTCATCTGATATATAGTAACTAATCTGGCCCATTTAAATTCACATATGCCTAAACCATCCATTTAGTAGGCTTCATTTCTGCTTTGACCATTTCAATTTTCCCTTGGTTCATACTTCTCACATTATGTTTTCCAAATTGTATATGTCCTTGAAAGATGAGGAGTCCCCTTTTAGTGAAGGCATCATCAGTGGCCAGACTCTCTTAAAGCTTTGGTCTGGTCATATTATCACCACTGTTTCCTTTCCAATAATTATAGGGACTGCCTTCCGATATGAGATTTTCATCATCTGGTATAAATTTGTTTCACTTTTCAGCCATGTTCATATAATTGTGTGCACTTTAGTACATAAGTGGTTTGCCATTCTCTTCTACCAGATTAGATTTTGGAATTCATTCTTCTAGGTGGATTGGCTTTCAACTCATCTGCAGGGCCCCACATTCCCTCATGCCTGTCATGGATCATCTTAACCTCCTTATCAGCAAAAATGACCCTCCAACTCCATCAGTGTTACTCTTAGATAATATTAAATTTACCAAGCCATCCCATCATGTCAAGTTTCTAATTCACAGTAGGCATAACGTAGTTTATCACTCTGTTAATATTAAGTTAAAATATTGTAAGATTTCTTGGCATATCTCCTAAGGTGTTGGATGAAAATTTTATTTTAGATTGCATCATCTGCATTTCTGGCTTCAATAAAGTGCTTCTCTGAATTCTAAATCACAAATGCAGATTTTAGAAAGAACAGCCAGTATTCTTTATAACTTGTGCCCACAGGGATGGTGCAAATAATCTCTTGATAGAGTTTACAGTTGCTCATTAGTGAAAATGCACAAATTAAATCAATCAACTGATGGGACAAATCTGATCCAATTGTCAGTTACCGTAGTGATTATCTCTTAAAATGTTCCTTCCCTTCAAAATTTTAGTTTTTGATATCCATTTTGCTTCATAAAAACTCTTCTCCCAAACCAAAAGGGTCATGAGCTTTCGCCCCTCTCCATCTGGTGACCTCATGATGCTCACATCTGTTGATACTTGGAAACCAAACAATTTTTATGTTTTGAAATGTGGTCCTGCCCACCTGTTTGGGTTTTCTTTTAATGTCACACTGTTCTATCCACAAGTATTCTTAGTGTAGAGGAATTATTTTTTATGTTGTGTTGTTTTGAATTATGCTTTCTAACACAGCTGTGCAATGCTTTGTGTTTTATTGCCATGCCAATTTAAGAAAACATACAGCTGCTTTAAAGCATGCAAAGAGATGGCACATTCTCACTCGCATGTTTTTGGGACTCTAATTCAAAGCACATACCTAATGTGTTAAACCTTTTGCAATTGAGCATATACTGCTCAGTTTGGTTTCATTTTAAAAAAAAATATCCTATATTTTGTATGTACAGAATTTGCAAGAAGAAAGAAGCAGAGGCATGGGGAGATGTACATAATTCCATGTTTTGGGGGGGGGGGTTGTTTTCTCTTTGCAAACACAAGCAAACAAAATATAATAGAAAGTAATAAACCTGAATTGGACCTTTATTATATTTTGAAGAATTACGTGAGTCAAATGTTATATAAGGAGAAAAATAATAATATCCCTTATCAAGAAGATAATAATTGTCCTTTGTATTTTTCGTCTACTGATATAACTCAGATTTACTAATATTAGTTTTGAAACTCAGGCCTCACTCACCGAAATCATCTGGATATAACAGGGTTTGATATTTGAGCTTTTCTGGCTCTTTCAGGGTCAGTTCTTATTTATTTCCTGGGTTGGGCAGCCATTGTTGCTATATTAGAAAATTGAGAACTGTGGGTTAAGGAAAATGGGCACAGGCCATTGATTGTTGATTCTGATGTAATGTCTCGATTCCTTCCTTGAATTCGGAATTCAAGTGAGAATCAAGTGAGTGGAGGATAAATGTTGGGCATCATAAAGTTATTTTACGAGATGTCCAGATATCTTTTTCTTAAATCATTTTAAAAAGAGGCTGAAATTTCCAGTATCAAACATGGTTTAAGAGTTCAATTATCTTGGCATAGTTCATATGCTGTCTTAAGAAATAAACACATAATACCGAGTTTATAAAAGTGCCATTTCATGCAACCTTCCCTTTTTTCTGGAGGATTAAATGAATCAATTTTATTAAAAAACATGTATTATTTATTAAATGTAATTATTTACATCCTACCAAATGTCCACAAGCTTCCTTGTCTTGGCCCTTTTATATATTGTGATTTAATCGCTCTGTTCTGTGGTAGAACAGATTAAGTGCTTTTAAAATTAATTTTTGTGAAAAATTATAATTCTCCATGATAATTTACAAAATACTATAAGACACGACATTTCCTTCTAAAGAATGGCAATACATGTACAAAGATTCAAACTACCGGTATCTCAAAATCCAAGTATTACTTTTTGATTGGATGAAAATATTAACAAAAATGTGAATGATATAGTAAAAAATGAAGCAATCTGTATTTGCAAGTAGATAACACAGAAAACATAGGTCTGGGATTGGCAAATTTTTCAGGTGGCAGGTACCATTAAGCAATTTTACATAATGACACAAATCACAAGAAAAATAGAATTAAAACCATCAAATTTTCACAAGTTCCTCCAACCTCATGACATGTTGGCAATCTCACTATGAAATCTGTGGAGATTTCAACATTTGCACCTAAGATCTTGTGATATTTCAATATTATCAGCTGAAATCTTACAAGGTTTTGAAGATCATTATACTCTCTAGTGAATTAGCAACCTCGCTGAAATTTTAGCTTTTACATTAAGTTTTAGTTTTGCATTAAAAATGTGGTTGCTTGGATATTCTCTAGAGATGTTACAAGCTGAGTGCTGTTGCCAGTTGTCATTAGGTTTTGAATCCAGTTATAGTAAAGTTAAGGAGAATCAGGGACTTGGCACTATCCATTTATAACTGCTTGATCCAACAGACTTCAATTTTTTAAAAAAGCCAGGTAGAAACAGATCTGGTGAAAATTCAGTATACTAATTTGATAAGGCAAAATATAATGCCATGCCAGGCTATTTCTGTACTATCATATCTTCCAGGTAATTGTAAAGATAAATGTAAAATAGTTAACTCCTAAATAAGCTAGAGTCAGTATAGCAGGTATAAACTACAGAATTGTAAAAATCAAAAGTAATTTGTCCACCAATTCTACCTACTACACAAGATAGGAAGTAGATTCAGAGCACCTTACCTAAAATTTTCTAACAAGAATAAGAAAGGAGATCAACTTAGGAAGAAACATTATTATTACCACTTTTATTAAATGTATTTGCCACCCATCTCGCAATTTGAGGCATCCTAATGTTATTTGTATATGTTATGCTCTTAAAATTATTTAAGTCTCAGGAAGTTTTCACATTATTTACTGATGAATACACTTGATTGTTACATGGTCTCTTATAAATGAGGAGATTGATTTTACTAATTATCCATTATGAAGCAATGAAACAACAGGCTGTGCTGGACAAGTTTGAGCATTAAATTCTAGCATAAGAACAGAATATATTAGGCTCCATTAATTTCCCCTTTAGCTAAAACTGGGTAGAGACACTTCTATGTCTATCCAGCTATCTTTATGTAATAAGCATTGTGCAACTGAGCGTTTGAATGATGCAATTATAGCATGTCAGTTCCTCTGAAAAGGTTACTTTTACATAAGGTGATTCCTTCTTGGCCATAGTGAACTATGCCATATTTCACCTATATTCTTAATATACTAATTTGCACTTTAGTAAAAATTTTAAAAGAGCACTTTAAATTGCTTTGAGATTGTGAAGCAAGTCACACAGAGGAAACAAAGTCAGTTCTCTTTAAAAACATGTAGATGGAAACATGTTTACAAGCCATTTTTAATCATGTGCCATGTATGTTTGTTTTTCAATCTCATTTGATTATCCAGAGATACCCAGCATCCCTGCTGCCATAGAAATATGTGGGGCAAGGCAGGGGCGGGGGAAAGAACCATCAGTCAACTTCTCGGCACATGGATTTTTACTGTGGAAAAAAATCTATGTTCTGCTATCACATTTTCATTGCATGCTACGTGTGTCTGCGTAAAATGAGTGCCACTGTTTTGTATATACGGAAATGGATAATTTTGTTCAAAATTCACGCTGGGGAAAAAAAATGTAAGACAGCAAAGCTAGAAGTTACTCCAATACCACAATCTGAATCATTGTGAGTGCCAACCTCAAAAAAATGTGGTTAGTTCTAGACAGCTAGATGAGAAACAGATCATGTGGGTGCCAGCTTCCATCCTACTAGATATAATCACATTTTTAATTACAGACTTCTGCTCACAAAGTTAGGAGCCATGTTTCTAGCAAGCTAACATTCTCTTTTTTCTGTTTTTTCCCCACATTAACATTTTTCCTTTAAACAAGAGTGCCCTGCACTTCACCAAGCTACCCAGGACAAATGTGTTCATTTTTCTCCCCTCACATACTGTTACCACCTAGTTGTGGAACTCTACCAAGAGATTTCATGTCAACGAAAGCATGCTTAGTGTTTCAATAGCCTTCTGCTTATATGTTTGAAGATTCGAAACGGAATGGGGAGGTGGCCAAGGCGGCGCTGGCAAATGAAGACTGTCCCCACATAGACCAGGCTATGTCGCCTGAGGAAGGTCTGCCATATACCCGTTCTGGCACTCGGGAGAGATATGGACCTTGCTTCCTCTTATCAACCGGGGAATATCCCTGCCCGCCTGATGGAGGAATAAGAAAGGGTATGTAGATAAGGTCCGCTAATCACATAGATAGTAAGATAGTTTAAGATTATGATTTATTGGAGAGTATTAAGTTTGTTTGAGAATATTGGTTTCTTGCACTAAAAGTAACAGTCAGACATCTTGATCCATTCATCAGACAAGAAATGGGCATGGCTGAAATTTGCACTGGTGTACCTTTTGAGGATAATTCCATCTGATAAGGATGTCCGACATATTCTTTCATTGTGCATTATGACCTTAATGGTCATATGACTCCACTTCAGATTTCTTCCATTATTTTTGGTATTATGGCACTGCTGGGCCAGCCTGGTGCCAACTGTTTCATCACCACCGATATTTTCAGACCTGTAGTTTTGCTGCTAGTTCCTTCTTTAACTCTTCTTTCCTGTAAGGCAGGGGTGAGCAACTGTGGCCCTTTTACAACCTGTGGACTTCAACACCCAGAATTCCTGAGACAGCCAAGCTCTCAGAATTCCTGAGACAGCCAAGCCAAGCTGTCTCAGGAATTCTGGGAGTTGAAGTCCACAGTTGCCCACCTCTGCTGTAAGGTTTGTAGAGGCAAGAAGGAAGGTCCACTATGGCAAATGCAGGTGTTTGTTTTTTTTTGTTTGTTTGTTTTTTGCAGTGGGAAAGTGATCATTAAAACATCTCTTTGCCATTTCTCCTGGCAGAAGCTCAAGTCCCTAATGGGCTTCAGGATCCTAGTTTGGAAACCACCAAGTTTAGAAAAGCTCCCTCATCAAGCAGGCTAGTCATCAAGGGATAGTATCTCTTCCTGCTTGTTCCTGAAACACATGAAAATATTATATTGTTGAAGTTAGTAATTAGTAGCTAATTGGACAAGGCAGGCATATTCTATTATTTGCCCACCTCCGTATTTTATGACATCTAAGTGAAAATTCCTAGATAAATTAAAAAGGCATAAATGCTTTATAGTTCAGAAAAATAGCTACCATCAAAATTCTACCGCCATTTTATGCTCCTTTGTTCAGTTGTATTAATTGATGTTGAATTTTTGTTTTTTACTGCAGTTTATTACTGAGCTCCCTGAATATTTCTTACAATATTGCCTGCACATATGAAAGGAAAATAAACAAATGGTGGCATATTTAATCTAAATCCAGGAGAATTAAAATAGCAATTTCTTAAGGTCACACCTATGATAACTTTAACAAGTGCATATTTGGGGGGGGGAACCTACATTTTCCTCAATTAAATCAGCATAGGCAAAGGCTCTGTTGTGGCCATGGTGCTTCAGATGAGCAGTTCCCTCATATTGAACAGAATACTTAATGTGCTATATTCAGTTTAGTAAATGCAGACTTATATTTTGGATGATTGTCACAAAAGCCTTGTGGATTGTAACTGCAGAGTATAATAATATTACTACAGACTCTGCAAAAACTGGAGTGTGGCCCAAATCAGTTCTTTACCAAACCTGTAGGATGCATTGCATGTTGACAGAAAAAAAAAGGGAGGGGTGGCTATAGAGCAGGGGTGTCAAACTCGCGGCCCATAGGCTGGATGCATCATGCGCTGGCCATACCTGGTTTAGCAAAGGGGGGAAAGTCACGATACGTCACGTGATGACGCGAGTTTGACACCCCTGCTATAGAGTATACTTAATTGTAATTTCACCATTTACTAACGATAAGATATAGGAGGGTCATTTTACTTTCTTATGAAAGTTTTTGCTTAAGTTTACCTTTGTAGCAAAAGTGTTTTACACCTGATTCTATACTGGAGACACGTTGGTCATTTTTCATTCAGCTTGAGCCCTGGTTCTTGGTTCAGTGCTTTGTGAGTTTGCTTCTAAAAGGTTCCCCTTTTAGGATGACAAATGGATAATTCTCACAAAGCAACTGAAAGAATGAGGCTCCACCCAGTTGATTGAAAGTGTGGCCAGCTGGCCGAAGGAATGATAAATGTCAGCATATTGTTGGCTTGTGTTGGGGTGGGTGGGGGAATATTATCAAGGACGCCTTTAGTGTTTCTACAGATTTTCATTCCATAGATTGCATAACAATGCCTCTGATTTGCTGAGCTGTTTGGTGCATGACTAAAAAACTGGCAGAGGGAAGAGGAAACCGAATGCATGCAAAAATGCTGGTAAACAAATTGAGTAGTATCTCTATAGCAACAGAACTATAAATGCTTTTGATAGAGCATTGGGGTGGGGAGATAGAGACATCTTTAGTATCAGATAATACAATGTGAAATGCCAAAGGTTCAGTACAATCGCATACAACACAATGACTTGGTAGTGTGACAGTTTCTCTATGACAGATTGAGGGTTTGCATTTATTTAGAATAGAATAGAATAACAGAGTTGGAAGGGACCTTGGAGGTCTTCTAGCCCAACCCCCTGCTTAGGCAGGAAACCCTACACTTCATTTATTTCCAGCTCCTCTATATCATAGCAGGGGGAACATTGAAACATAGGAATATTTTTTCTTCCACCATTTCTAGCCAAGGCCATGTTGCAAGGGATACTACTCTTGGCATGTCAAAGCATGAAAGATGCTGCTGCAATCAGGCTGTACTTTACTGAGTTTGACCATTCTGTTGTTGATCCAATATTCTGTGATTTTACCTTTTTTTTTTTCCTTTTAAAAGAAGGTTTTGAGATGTTATAAGCCTTAACAGCTTAGTTTGCAGACATGGAAAAATGGTAGAAAGATCCTTCAAGCCTGGAATTCTTCGAACTTCGTGAGACATTCTTGGTCTCCCATTCCGTAGCATGGATCCGTAGCAAAGAATGGTCTTCTAGATTCTAGTATTCTAATCATAAAGCTAATAAAAAGAGGGAAAAGAAAAGCAATGATTTCTCATTAGCTTATGTGGTGTCACTTGTAAGCAGATCCTGATGTTTGAAAGTATCACGGCTTTTGGTAGCATCTCATGGGGTTGATGTTACTACTGGGGATAGTAACACTTATCTCGGCCAGATCCTTCATCATGTAGAGCTAAATTGACACTATTAGTTGCTTTGGCGGGCCATAACACTGCATGTTATTGATACATAAGATGCTAAGCTGGAGGCACCACATAGTTTCTTGTGGTGGTGCACCCCATCCTGGTATGTGCTTTTCTCAGCTACCGGTAGATCCACTGGCTTTTTGGAAGTGGGTTAGATTGTCATATAGTCCAATGCTGAAACTTGCCAATGACTAAAGATTTTTGCTTTTCTCAGGATATTGTTGAGCCATAGGAACCTTACAAGAGTGTGAGCAAAATACAAGCAGTAGGACAAAACTTTGCATGGTGTCTCTTCTATGTTGAAAGCAATAAGATACACTTTAGAGAGGTCTCTAGCTGGCTGGCTGACTGCATGGGGAAAAAAAAATATTGATGGAGAAGAAAATTGGCTGCCTCTGCATGTAGCTCTTTCTCCTTTCTCCTCCTTGCTATAAAACACCCAGCTTGGTTTGAAAAGCACAGGAGAGAAGCTCAAGTATTGATTATATTCTTTACATGCAGATCTTTGCAAAGAAAGTCCTGTCATTGCTAAATATATGCCAACAGAGGCAGTCAAAGTGACTTGACATGGAGAAAACGAGATGGACAATGATGGCTTATAAACGTCTGGGTGGAACTGTGCAGGCATAGAAGACCTCTTCTTTGGACAAATGTAATCTCCCTCCATGCAAGTTTGCAGGATGATATATGTGGTTTCAAAAAGGGAGACATGCAGGATTTCTCTATGGCCAGAATGTAACAAATGGCAGATTTTTTTCGTTGTTGTTGTTTCATAGCATGAATTGCATGAAAAAAAAAAGAAAACCCCTGAGATTGTACAAGTTAACTTACTTTACTATTAAAGGGGTGTTTTGGGGGAAGGGTGGGGAGATAAAGTAATATATTTTCCTTCAAAGCTCTTTACTTTTACATATGTTGTAGTAGCAAACTGTAAAAGATATTCTAAAGCCGTACATTCCTTTGCAATGGATTGTTTATTTGTATACATGATCACAAGGGTGGATGGTTTAAAAAGTGCAATTGGCAGTCACATTGACCATGCCTTCATAAATTCATCACGCAGAACATGAAACTCAAGAACTTTTCATCCAACTAGACTTGTGTAAAATGTACAAACAATCTTCTTTTCTTGTCTGTTTTTGTTGGCATGCTTGTGAAATCTGGGACCAGTTTTTGATCCTGATGGAAACAGCTGGTCTAAACTAATTTTCCAGCTCTGTACTTTATTGGTGTATAGATCCAGTGTGAAGACCCTTTATGACAAATTGTTTATATTAAGTGATCAGTAAAGAATTCAACCAAAAAAGAAACCAACATTGTTTTTTTTAAAAGCAACCACAGCAACACCTGGGGATTTACAATATACAAATCAGGAACCTACTTCGATATAAACTTATCTCAGAGTTTTAAGAAACAACAAAATGGCATTGTATGCAATTTAGAATTCTGAATAGAATGCATGCACAATGTTATGCAAAATAATTCTAGCATGAAATAAATTTTGTATAATGGTTTCAATGCCTGCTGTATAGTGTAAATCAGAATTCCTTCCTGAAATGTTCAGAACGTCCCAAAGAAATGCTTTTGAAATTGTAAATAAATGCCATGCAAAGATTCCCAATGGAACAATCAAAGAGAAAAATGCTTTGCTTGTAAGATGGTAAACTGGTGAGTGCCTAAGGAAGTCACCTCCCAAATCCTTGATACAACTCATGTCTTCAGTCTTCACAACACTAATAAATATTTCCATAATTGAATAGATAAAATCTAGAGATTGGTAGATTTCACTCTATTCCTTTTTTCTCAATTAATAATAAAAGTTTGGCTTTTTAGTTGATAATGTGAATTCAGTTTTTCTTACTACTGTGGTTCTCTTAACAATTGATAGCACTTAGAAAGATGTAGAATTAGATACCTTTTAATCATACTAAATGATGTTTTAATTACCTAACATTAAAGGTAGTGTAGAGGTTTGAATCATATCATTTTATTTCAGATTGAAAGAAAACATTTAGAATTTTTGTCATAAATTTGCTTGTAGTTAAAACAATGAAACAAAGGAATAAGTTTCATCACATCATAAGACCTAACTACTTCCTAGGAAGAAGGTAAGGCTATTGATGATGATGATGATGATGATGATGATAAAGCTTAGGAATGAAGTATTTCATAGAATAAACATAAAAGGAAAAACACAAGACAGTAGCAATAAGAGTTACATAAATATGGAAGCTTTACTTTTCTTCATCCCACTTCCAAAATTCTTTCCATTCCTTAAAACAAAAACGGCAGGAAAAAATTCCAAAAGAATATATCTTTCTTATACTTGAATGTTTAAGTCAGTATATTTAATAAGAAAAATGAGGCATCTAATGTAATAATTACTATATGCAACCCACATTTCTAAATAGTCTTTTAATTATCTATAAAACATGTATTCATATATAGGAATGCATATGTACATTCTTCAGAATATTGTATAAACTGATAAGAGCATGGATATTGCAGTATCAGGATTTAAGCTATTTATTTACATTGCTATCATAAAAACTCACATGTGCCTTTGTTTTTGTGTTTGTTTCACAATTATCAGTATACAGTATATCAGACCACGTGAGAATCTGTATAAACCTTCAGTTTCCAGAACAATAATTATTCTGTGATGTAAGTCTAAAAGGGAATTGCTTGAATATATGATCACATCACATGAACCAATGCAATACTTTGAGCACATGTCCAGCAAGTAACTGAACCAATTAGTTTTTTCACTAAATGGACACAAAGATGTTAAATAAACATAAAATCTTATGGAAATAATCATAATCTGACATCAGTTTAAAATGTGACATAAATGCCAAATTGGACATCTGTTGTCCTTTTTTTTTTCACATACTGGAAATCTCTTGAATATCTGCCTTTTAACACCCATTTACAACTAGTTATTATAGCCTCATTATTTTTCAAAGAACATGACTTTCATGGCAAGAAATTCCACTGCTAAAATGTGCTTGGGCTGGTTGTTTAATAAAGTCCCATTTGAAAGCTAAACTTTAAAGGAAGTAATCTTGTGCTACCTAGGACAGCGAGTAGGAAGAAAAACACAAAGCAGCAGCAATAAGAATTACAAGGATATACAAGAAGCGTTATCTTTCCTCATCCAACTGTTGTGGCCCGCCGGCAGCCAGCGGAGCTTGCAGCAGAGTCGGACAGTGAGGAGGTTGGGGAGGAACTTGGGCCAGTCCTGGGGGCTGGGGAAAACTCGGACGAGGGCTCTGTGTCGGAGGCAGAGAGGGAGTTACACAGCAGCAAGGCAGAGGAACAGCTGGAGCCCATTCCCAGTGTGCGCATGCGCAGAGCTGACAGAAGACAAGAGCAACTCAGAAAGCAGGGTCGACTTGGGAGTAAAGCCACACTTTGGAGGTGATTGGCCCCTCCCATAAGAACTAAAACAGGAGCGAACGGGGAGGGGGCTTTTGCAGGAATCAATTCGTTCGTTCCGTGACTCTGAGAGACTCTGTGCCGGGTTTTGCCTTGTACTGCGATTGGAAAAAGTTACGTGGCAGTTTGCCAAACGAGATAAGGTGTGTTGAGAAATATTCCTTTGCAAAACTCTTTGGACTAACCTTGCTGACTGTGAATGAATGTAATTCACAGTCGTGTGAATAAAAGAAGCTTTGCCGGGACCAATTCCTGCCTCCTGCGTGTTAAGGGAGCCTAGGCCAAAACACCAACTTCCAAAATTCTTTCCAGGAAAAATTCCAAAAGAACATATCTTTCTTATCCTTGATTGTTTAGATTAGTTTAATCTCCTTGAGGAGTAGCAGAGGCTGTTTCCAGAGGCAACCTGTGGAGCTGCAGAGCTCTAAAGCTTTCTTATTCTTCATGCATGCCGTCAAAAGGGTCTCCAAAATTACACCAGCCCTGAGACAGGGACAGAGCATGTTATCTGCAATCGATGGGATGGAGAAACAGTTAAGTTTGAGCATAGAGAGCTTGTGAATTCCTTGGTATCTTTTTAAACCCCCTTTGTTGTTGGAGGTGGCAAAAGATTCCAGTGCTGGTGTTGATGTTTATGGTTGCACATTTTTCAATCTCTCTGGATCTCACATGGGAAAAAGACTCACCGGGAAATTTCCCCCCTGCTCTATTTCCTTGGGATTCAATGAAAGTGAAAGGTGGAAAACTGCTGAAGACATGATTGTACATGGAAAGATAGCATCTTTCATAGGACCCCTGGCTCCCTGGCTCCCTGGCAACCGAGTACGTACTAGAAAACCATACTACATCAATGGCATTTGGCTGAAACTTTCATTGGAAAGTAATTTCCAAAATAATTCCCAACTAAATTCTTTTTCAACAAATGTGGTGATACCAGAGATGTTTTATCACATATTTCTAGTTTTGACAGATGTGCCAAACTATAATTTTATACCCATTTAAAAGGAACTACTCTTATTTAGCATTAGTAAGATTGCTTTTTTTTCCCCCACCAGAGAGTGGTTTACTGCATAGTCATAGATATTCTATATTTCATTTTCTTATTAATACTATAAAAGTATTTTATTTTGGGAAGCATATGAATCCTGTGTGGGTTTTGTCCAACGCAGTCAGAGAACTTTGATTTTTTTATATATATAATAATGTTTGCTGAAGTTTAAAAATACAATGATAAAAAACTAATAACAATTCAGAAAAAATACATAAAAAGCAAAAAGCAAAAAGTGCAGAGGGAGAAAAGGAGGGATGAAAAGAAAGAAAAATATGAAATGGATAGATAGACAGACAGACAGATACTGTAGTTAGGAGAGAGAGAGAGAGAGATGATAGACAGATAGATGTATATTCATATATAAGATTTATTTACAGTTATGACATAAATTAAGGAAAGAAGTGTTTTTGTAGTATTACAGAAAATACTAAATTACTGGGTAAAGTAAATGAAAGAAATATTTTGTTTAAATCTAAATGTGTATATATCTTTATTTCTGGTAGCTGTTAATGGACTTTGTTGATTAGTATTCAGTTGTGAATTTTTATGATTTGCTAATAGATAAAAGATGAGATACAATTTCAGTAATATCATCTTCTCTAACATTTCAGCCTACATTTACTGGTCTTAATGAAGGGAATGGTCATATATATGACTATATATATGTGACTTCTCCCTTCATCAAGACCAGTAAAATCTCTTCATTTTCTTTAAGAGATTTTAGACTGAAATGTTAGAGAATTTGATGTTACTGAAATTGTATCTCATCTTTTATCTATTAGTAAATCATAAAACCTCACAATTCAATCTTAATCAAGAAAAGTCCATTAATAGGTACCAGAAATAAATATAAATACATATTTAAAGTAAATCAATTTCATATTCCTTTCATTTACTTTAGCCAGTAACTTAGAATTTTCTGTAATAATACAAAAAATGACTTCTTTCCATATCTTATCTCGTAACTATAAATAAATCTTTAAAGCTTTATCATTCGAAATTCATTTTAAAAATTCATTAAAAGGTACCCGAGAAAACATATTGAAATTTAATCCCATCAAATAATGTCCTATAAATTAATTTCTCATCATCTATTCATCTCCTTTCGGAAACTCCTTCACAAGTTCAACACTTTCCTTCCATTTTAATACCATAGCTCTTCACTTTTTTAAAAAATAAAAACAAAAAATAATTTCTTCTTTCCATATCTTATCCATAAACAAATCTTTAAAGCCTCACCACTGGGTGCCAATTTGCTTCCAGGTTCAAAGTGTTGGTTATTCCTTTTAAAGCCCTACATGGCATGGAGCTAAATTACATGTGGAACCATATTTGCCCCATCACATCAGCCCCTTCTACCCCCTCAAGCAGACCCTATCAGTTGAAGAATTCAAACCAGCACATCTGTGAAGACAGCCTTCTCAGCCCTTGCCCCTGCCCTTCAAATATTCTCCCCTTACAGACAAGGCTGGCCCTGTTTCCTGCACTTTCTAAAATATCTAAAGTCTTGCCTCGGCCATCTTGCTTGGGGCTCACACAAAAGCACGCAGCAGTGCGGTTGGCTAGTGCCCTGAAGACAACTTTTAATGTAAAATTTTAACTATCCTTATTTCTTTTTAAATTTTATATTCAGTTTTTATGTTTTTAAGATTTTATTTGTACACTGCTCAGTCTTTCACATACTCTATGAGGGAGACGGGTAGTTTCTAAATGACACAGGCAGGCAAGCAGGCAGTTCTGACCCAGCCTTAGCAGAAACAAGAAACAGACTCCTTGTCACAAAAAAACCCCTCTTTATTTATCTCCTGTGAATGAATGGCATTCACACACCAGAAAGTCCAGGCAGTAGTCCTTCAAAGAGTTAACTGAAGTAACAGACCTTATCAGTTCCTTGCAATAATTGCCAAGCCGTGAGCTCCCAGCCGCAAAGCTGCAAATTAAGTTCTGGCAATCAGTTTCTGAGGCACGAAACACGATGAGCCAAATCTTCAGAAATCCGAACTGTTGTCTCCTACGATCACCACTCCCCTTTCCTTCTACTTATTCTGCAGCCAGGAAGGGGCCATTCAGTGTCCACGTGCATGTTGCTTCCTGAGTCGCCTCCTTGTCCTCAATTGTTCTCCTCTCCTAACAGCGCTGCGCATACCCGCATCTGGAACAGGCCCCAGCTGTTCTTCCTCCCCACTTATCTCAGCCTCCAAAGGTAGCTGCCTCTCTGGTGGCTGGGAAATGTCGGACGGCCCTGGCTCTATCTCTGCATCCAACGCAGAGCATCCATCAGAGCCTTCCCCAGACTCCAGAACTGGCCCAAGTTCCTCCCCAACATCCTCATCATCTGAGTCACAACAGAGCCACAACAGAGACAGACAGGCAGACATTAGATGATTAGATGGATGGATGGATGGATGGATGGGTAGATAGATGGCTGACTGGACAGACAGACAGATAGACGATATATAATAGATGGTAGATGATAGATAGAGAGGCAGACAGAGAGACAGACATAGAGATTATATATAATAGATGGTAGATGATAGAGAGGCAGACAGACAGACAGACAGACAGACAGACAGACAGACAGACAGAGAGGTAGTCCTCAATTTACAGCCACAATTGCGCCCAAAATTTCTGTTGCTAAGTGACAGAATTAAGTGAATTTTGCCCCATTTTACAATCTTTCTTGCCACAGTTGTTAAGTGAATCACTGCAGTTGTTAAGTTAGTAAAACGGTTTTTAAGTGAATCTGGCTTCCCCATTGATTTTGCTTGTCAGAAGGTCACAAAAGGTGATCATATGATTATATGACCATGGGGATGCTGCAATGGTCATAAGTGTGAAAAACGGTCATAAGTCACTTTTTTCAGTGCCATTGTAACTTTGAACGGTCACTAGATGAATGGTTGTAAGCGAAGTACCACCTAGAAATAAAAATAAAATTCAGTGCCCTATCCTGCTCACATACACACACACCACGGGTGTTAGAAATCCTTGAGGCTTCCAAGCCCCGAATAGTCTTCCCCAGAAATTCCTCACACACACACCAGCGCCATCCCAAGGATTCAGTAGGCTATTCAAGGAAAACCCCATACCAGTCCACAGGGCAAAAGCAAATCTGCAAGACAAAGGCAAGTCCACAAGGCAAAGGCAAGTCTAGAGTTCAAGAAGCACGAGCCAAAATTTTGAGGTACAGAATCAAAATCTGGCAGTCAAGGAAAAAATCACTACGGCTGAAGAACGCACAGCAAGGAAATGGACATGTTGCTTCCAGCGTCATTTCAACTCCACGCGCTGAGGTAAATAGCCACTCCCTGGTGTAGTTCATCAAGAGGGGCAAGGATGCCGACTCACAAATAGCCTGGCTGAACTTTGTTGTGCCTGCCTCAGATTGGGAGTGGTAGGCAGATTTTCCTCATCTCCTGAAGGCTTTGGACTTCCCAGCTGCAGCTGGACCTCTCCTGTCCATTGCTCAGCTGACCACTCCTCCTGTCACTCCTCCTGCGACTGCTCTGTTGTGCTTGGTCTTGCAACTCATGGTAGCCTCCGGCAACCTCCAGATGGTCCTCCATGCCCGCTCCTGATGTCCCTGGACCTGGCTCTTCCTTATCTGAACTATCATCTGGAGAACTATCATCTCCATATATATATATATATATATTAACCTTGATCAAATAAGTCAACTGTATAAATCTTTTTATTTTTTAAAAAAGTCTTGATGTTTATTCCTTTTAAGTAGTGTCCCAGAAACTGATTTCTTTTCATCCTCTACCTTTTCTCAGGAATACCCCCATAGATATAATACATCTCTTCCCTAAGTCCAACGTAAGGAGATTGTCCATGTCACTCTTTTGAATTTTTTCTGATAATTGACACCTCCCAAAACTGCTGAAAAGATGGTTGTTCTTCCCGACTTCCCCTATCCATTTTACCACTTTACCCAGTTCTAAGGCAAATCTTTCCTTTATTTGGCTCTTTTTCATAAAATTGTATCTCTAGTCATTCAACCCTTCCCCGACCTTTTTCAGTCTGCAATTTTCAATAAAGCAGGAGAAGCAGTCTTTCTCTCCATAGTAATAACAGTATGGCAACTAAGCTGTGCACCCTTTGAAAATAAGAATCTTTGAACCTCACAGGAGGATAGGACTTCCCTGTTACTCATTAAAGCAGCCTGGTTTTTTTTCCCCCCAGGCTTCTAGATGGGACTGAAAATAATGTCACTTCTTAAAGATATATTTGAATGACTGCTAATCATTGCTAATTCCAAGGCTGACTGGACCTCAGGATCTTATTTGAAGTTCTCTAGTTGCCCCTAATCTACGGTATTCTTTTTTTTTTTGGCCCCACTGGCAGGATATAACATCTGGCCAAGCAGTTTATCTGCCTGAAAAGAACTGGCTTTTCTGCATTTCTTTACTGCCATCTAGTGATTTTTTTTTTCTGCAGACCAGATCTGATAGCCCTAAATAGTAATCATGCTTTCCAGCTTTGTACCTGGGAAACTCCCAATTGTGGACCTCCATGTCTGGTAATATAGAAGGAAGTTATTTTATTTATTGCATCTTAGGGCTGAAATTTATGAATTCTATTTTTTTTTTACCTAAATTAGAAATAAATGGAGGGTGGGAAGAGCAATAAATTCTATTTCTGTAGTCAACCATACGATTAAACTGCTTAGATGCCATATTGGTCGCTTAGATGCAAATAGCCACATTTCTGTAGTCATCCAGAAATGTTGTAATATTTAAATTGGATGTATCTAAAAGTTGGCAATAGATTGTGTTTAACTTTTTTGCTTCATGTTCTTTTTATTGTTTGCCTGGAATAAATAAAAATAGGCAAAAATTATTTTAGTGCTAAAAGTCAGGCATGAGAATGTTTCAATGTAATCATTGAATTGAATGAAAATCAATGTCATGCATACAGTACAAATGTTAGGCAATAAAAATACAGATGAAATCCATGTTAAAATGCATTTAAATTAACATTGCCATCATATCACTTAACATTTTAATCAAAACTTAATTCTGCTGGTTAAACAGATTCTAGACCTGAGATATAATAGGGCAAAAAATGTGTTAATCAGCTCCTTCCCCAATTTCTGTTGAATTTCATCACCCATCATGAGATCTAAAGACCCCTCTCCCCCACAATAATTCATTTTGGGTAAGATTCATAATTTCCAACATTACAGCAGAAGGGGAAAGAGGTGCCTCACTTGACTTCCAGTGTGTCATTCTTTGATTAACTTCAGGACAGGCTCCAAAATCAATCATCAAATAGTTCTATAGTGAGGGGATTTGGAGGGCAGACGGAGAGCAATCAGGAGGAGACCTCTTTCAGCCTTCACAATCATGATAGGTTGCAGGAGGAAAGAAATTTCCTAAGGGGAGTAAAATCTAAGCTACCAAGTTTCTACTGCTCAACACCAGCCTCTTGATATGCTGGAATGTCACAGCAACCTTCTGTTGTGGCCCACCGGTGGCCAGCAGAGCTTGCAGCAGAGTCGGACAATGAGGAGGTTGGGGAGGAACTTGGGTTAGGCCTGGGGGCTGGGGAAAGCTCAGATGAGGGCTCTGTGTCAGAGGCAGAGAGGGAGATAGACAGCAGCGAGGCAGAGGAACAGCTGGAGCCTGTTCCCAGTGTGTGCATGCGCAGAGCTGCCAGAAGACAAGAACAGTTAAGAAACCAGGGTCGACTCAGGAGTAAGGCCACACCTTGGAAATAATTGGCCCCTCCCATAGGAAATAAAAGAGGACAAACAGGGAGTGGGCTTTTGCAGGAAACAATTCGTTCATTCTGTGACTCTGAGAGACTCTGTGCCAAGTTTTGCCTTGTACTGCAGTTGGAAACAATTCATGTGGCAGCATGCCAAACAAGATAAGGTGTGTTAAGAAATATTCCTTTGCAAAACTGTTTGGACAAACCTTGCTGACTGTGAATGAACGTAATTCACAGTCGTGTAAATAAAAGAGGTTTTGCCGGGACCAATTCCTGCCTTCTGCTTGTTAAGGGAGCCTAGGTCAGAACACCTTCTACAGACTTTTCAGAAAAGGGCTCCTAACAACTCTTCTCTCTTTAAAGGAAAAAAAAGGTGTATTTAAGTAGAGTAAAACCTACTAAGATTTAATTCCACTTTAATGTCACAAGGCAAAAGTATCTCAACATCCACTTCTGTGGAATTGGGTAGCATTGCTATAACACTGCTAATAAAACTAACAAAACTGTTGTGGTATTTTAAAGATTAACAAGGTTGTTTTTGTTTTTGATTCTGCAATGGGCCACAGGCCATTGCAGGTAGATTCCTTCTACCTTTCGCAGGCCAAAGACAATATTTGGCTATTGTCTGTTTTGTTTTGGCAAAGATATTTGATTTGTGATGGAAGCAGCAGCTGAAAAATTAAGGGAAATCAAAGCAAAAGATATCCCCATCTAGACACCCCGTACAACAAATGGGTTCAATGACAGAATGTCATGTCCTCCAATACATTTTTGCCTAAATATCTGCCAGAGTCTCTCATTAGAGTGCATGCCTATTTTAACTGAGGCTAGAAAATATTTCCTGAAAGCTACATAAAAGCCTTTATTGTAAGGCTACATTAACAGAATATTGCAAATCTCGAGGTACAAAGGTACAAACTTCCTGCCACTTTTACCTGCTTGACCCTTTAAAGCAGGTTTTTCCCGAGTTTCTTTATCTGTCCATTAAGCCACTAGGAGTTTCTGCCTCTCTTGTGTAATTGTTTCCTAGGTAATTGTTTTGTGGTGTAATTGTTTCTCTTCCCCTTCATTTTCCAAGTCATCTACATACATTTCATTACATACAAATGCAATTTGCCTTATGTAAATAGACACCATGAATGAGAAAATAAGACTTTGTAGCTCTTATTCTTAGCATCAGCACTGGACAAATCATCGGGCTTCCCTTTACTATTTATTAGGAACAACTGCATTGATGTTTGCTAAATATTGGTTATGCTGCATTACAGGTAGTCCTCAACTTATGATCCATTGCTTAGTGATGGTTCAAAGTTATGACAGACCTCTCCTGGTGTACTCATGAACTGGTTCCTAAGTTAAAACATCTGCCACACACACGCCAGAGTCACATTACTGCACATTGGGGCATTCAACAACTGGTCCATATTCACAGGACCTCATTTTATGATGTTTTTGCCAAAAACTGGCATTTACAAGCAAACAGTGAGTTATCCATTTATGACCTTTTTTTTGCAAAGCAGTTGTTAAGCGAACAACTGCTTTGCAAAAAAAAGGTCATAAATGGATAACTCACTTTATGACTGTCACAACTTACAACTGTAATGGGCAGGTACTATTACAGTCATAAGGAGAACATCAACAGAACCACTGTATATCCTTGTTTATCTGAAGGACTGAGAATTCATATGCTAGAATGTTCTGATGTTTCTTTTAGTGATGGAACTTATTGTAAATGATCAATCCCATGTTTTTTATTATTAGAAGTTTGTTCTAGGGATATACAATCCAATAAAAACTTGTCTAGCAAACAGATGAAATAACATGCATTGTAGGAACATAACCCTTTACAACAGGGATGGGGAACTATGGCCATTTTATGACCTGTGGACTTCAACTCCCAGAATTCCTGAGCCAGCATGGCTCAGAAATTCTGGGAGTTGAAGTCCACAAGTCATAAAGGGGCCATAGTTGCCCACCTCTGCTTTACATGAACAATCCTAATTTAGCTGCATTTAATAATGTTCCATTTTTGTCACACAAAATAATAATTTACCAGCAACTTTCAGAGGGCTATTTGGGTTGCATACATAGATTCAGAAGGGCACATAAAAATGTGGGGTTTCTAGTTCTGTCCAAGGGTACCTGGTAGGCCTTTGCTTTGACCAACAGGCTCGGAATATAATTAACATCAAAAACAGTGAGGAAAAGATTGTTCTATCCATCTATCTCATATCAAAAGGCCAACCCCCTCAAAAAATAAATGAAAGTAAAAAAAAAAAAAATTACATGATAAAAATAAAATATATACATGATCAAAAATAATTAAATATTCTGCAATGCATCTTGATGCCCCTTACACAGATTAAACAACTAATCAGATAATTTTACTGTTAATAATATGCAAATAAAGGAGGAGGGTAAAGGGAAGAAATTCTATTTATTTTATTATGCAAAAAAGATTAATGAATGCAAACAATAGATACACAGCACAGAATTAACAATAGTGTAAATCACTATTGGTGTACACCTTAAATGAACTCAAGTTTAGGAGGAAAACTAAAAAGGAAGAACAAAGGAAGAGGAGCAAAAGGGACACAAAATGCAGCTGTGAAAGAAAATTCAATTCATAATCTTTCCCTGTAGCCAAGGATATACAGATAGAACAAGCAAATGCCTAATCAAGAGCTTGAGATAAAAAGTTTAATAGCCTGAATACAAGCAAGCCTAATAGCAGAACATGATTTTTTTTTTAAAAAAAAAATCCTTCTGCAAAAGGATGTCAGCAAAAACATGAAGAGGTAAAATAGTTTATAGCATGCTCAACATTATGAAATGATTTCTGAGTGCTGATGATGATTAAAAACAAAACAAAGACAGCTGGAAGGACACCTCATGAATACTGTACTTTTTTTCTTTCAAGCAATCTTCCTCATCAGATTGAACATCTTTCTGCGCTATTGAATTTTTATGGTGCAATCTGAGGGAAAGCATAATAGAAGACTTTTTTGTCACCCCATTTAATCTCATTGAGTTAGAAGGAGCTAATTAGTTCATTCCCTTGCTTAATGCAGGATCTACTAGAGGTAGATGTAGAGGTGTCAAACTTGTGACAACACGTCGTCACAAAAGTGTCGCAACTTTTCCCTCCTTCGCTAAAATGGGTGGGTGTGGCCAGCATGTGACTCATCTGGCCCGTGGACCACGAGTTTGACACTCCTGTACTAGAACATCTCTGATACATGACCATATAGGCCTCTGTGTTAACCAGGTCAATAACAATAGTAATACTGCTTAGACTTATATATCATTTTATATTGCTTTATAGTCCTCTCTAAATGATTTACAGTCAGCCTATTGCCCCAAACAATCTGGGTCCTCATTTTACCAATCTCAGAAGGATGGAAGGCTGAGTCAATCTTGAGCCCATCAGGATTGAACTCCTGGTAGTGAGCATTGACTTAGCCTGCAATACTGTATTCTACCAAATATATTTGTGTACATACATTACGATTTATGTTGACTAGGGTATGTACTGTATAAAAGGAGCAGTCACCGCAATAATTTCTGGTAACATGCCTACAGGTAAAGTAACAGAGATCACAAATAGCTAAACAGATCTTGCTAATCCGTCTTAATTGGCTTTCCAAATAAATTGGTTGTAAACAGATGGAACAGATTAGGCTTACAGAGTATCAGACTATTAACATAAAATCCTGGATTGGTAGAGTACTGCTATCACTGATTCAGTTGATGTGGCACAGAACTCCAAAAATTCTGCATTTTATACATATGACAAACTCCAGTCGAGGAAAATAAAACTTTTTTTTAATTAACTAGCTTATTTGTGAAGACTGCTATTATATTTATGCCCCTTCTACGACCTAATATATACATATAAAGGCTATGATTCAATTCCAAAAAACTGCGTTAGAAGGCACAGGAGAGCAAATGTAGCAACTCTTTAAAGCAGCCATATTTTCCCCTATCTCTCACAGGGTATCCATCAAATCCTGAGAAAAGACATGAAAGTTTCAAAGAGGTATAGGCAGGTATTATGTTCACAGACCTGCATATGATTGAAACTGAATCAAAAGGGCTGCACAATTCTAATAAATATATTCAGGAGTTTGATTTGTAAAATATAGGAGATGGGCATTCAATCCAGGAATGCCCAAAGAATAAAGGAAAAGTAAAGCTGCCACTTAGATATTGAACTAATTCAAAGGCCTTTCAAAATACCATCTGGATTCGTGACCCAGCAAAACACCCAGTCAATGGACAGTAAAATGTAGAGTAGTAACAAGGAACCATGAGTTTGGCAACATATTCTACTATATACTTGATTGCTTATGTGTGTATATGCATGTGTGTAAGAGATATAAAAAAATAAATGAAAAAGTGAGACAAAGAAGAAGAAAGATATCTAAAGAAGCAACTTCCAATCTTCTTTGCAGCAGATAACAGAACATATACAACAGAATAATAGAATTGGAAGGGACCTTGGAAGTCTTCTAATCCAACCCCCTGCTCAAAGCAAGAGACCCTACACCATTTCAGACATGTGGCTATTCAATATCTTCTTAAAAACCTCCAGTGATTGAGCACCCACAACCTCTGAAGGCAAGCCATTGCTAGCATAATGATTCACCATTTCCAGCCTCTGAAATTATATATTTTGGATCCCGTCTTCCTGTAAACAACGCTTTTTAATCAGTAAATCCCCCAAAACCACACACTTTTGTCCATTTGCAGCAAAAAGTCCATAAAGGGTTTCCATTCTTTTATTTAAAAAATATTGTTGTACCTTCTTTAATTAGACAAGTCAATTTAGCCATTTCAGTCAGTTCTACACTCCTCACATTCCACTCCACCATTGTGGGTATCTCTTCTAATAAATTTACAGGAACCTACAGTCTACTGGTCCCTATATTTGTTTAAAACTTTTATAGTCCAAGCTTTTAATGTGCTTTTTGCTGCAAGTTAATTTCTGGAGAAAAAAATCTGGTTTTTTTTTCCTGTTAAACACAGATGGTCCAGTTAAACTGCTATTCCAGAGAATTCTTTAGTTTTTAAATAGCTACCATCCGAAGTGCTTAAGAAAGTGGGACTTGGTATCCATTAAAGGCTCCATTGAGGCTGCAAGTCAGATCTTCCTTGGCTCCAAGCACTTCACTCATGAGGTGCCTGTAGAATCCTTTTGGGTGCTGCAGGTTTCCGCATAAGGAACTACTATCCAGAGCACCCATGGGCAATCTTTTTAGCTTTTCATTGTCTGGAAAAGTTGTGTAGGAACAGCCTCACTGGCAGGCATAATTCCATCCTCAGCATCCCTACCCTTTCAGAGAAGCATCAATCCATAATTTTTCTCACCTGGAAGTCTCTATATCTGATTGCATTTGCATTGATGAAACAGTATAGTCCAATTATAAATCTCTGATATTGAGACTAATGCTCCAGTATATATACTTGGATAAAAACTGGACAGGTAGTCTTTCACTTAATTATCATAATTGGGACCGGTAACTCTGTTGCTAATCAACACAGTCTTTAAGCAAGCCATCAGATGATTGTGACTTATAATTTTATTGTTGGCTTCTTCATTGACCTTGCTTGTTGGAAGCTGGCTATGAGGTGTACAATTGGAGATCCCATAACCGCAGGCTGCTGTAAACATTGCAAGTGCAGGGACTGGTTGTAAAATTATTTTTTCAACACCATTATAATTTTTAAGAATCATTAAACATGGCAGTCATTAAGCAAGGACTACCTGAGGTAATCATGTGCTTGATATCAATAAATGTAGGAAAGAGACTGGCAGAACCAGGGGGAGGAGTTAAACTAGGCATCAGTTTAGAATGATTTTGTAACCACAAGCGAACTAAGTCCAATCCACCCTTGTCTGCCATTAATACTTATCTAGTTCTGTCCAGGTGCTAACTCTTAATATCAGGAGACTCCTGTGTATAGGCTGTAGTAATAAATCAGTTCATTAGAAGCTTTACATGTAAATCTGGTTTTTCATGCTTGACAATAAATAAAGCACATTCTGTTTCATTTCATCACACCAAAATGTTTTCATACTTTGCTCCCCTCAAACAAAAGCAATTTTTTTTAAAAAAAAACTTCCTCTTTCTTTTAAATACGAACACGGCAAAATGACTATGTCAGTATATAACATGGATAATCTTGCCATGGCTAGTATGACTGAATTGCTTTGACATTAACTGCATTTTATTAACCAAAGACAAACCTCCAGGTGAATTTAAAATTGTGCAGAGGGTGTTATGTCTAAGCTTGTTAAAGAGCAAAATGCTAAGGAGTGTCCGGCTCCACATCCAATTAAAAGCAGCTCTGAAGAACTAAGAGGTTCCACAGGCTGAGGAAGACAAACATTTTCTTCTGTTTCGTTGCCACACATGCCATGCTCGTTCCATCCCCAGGAAAAACACTGGTTACCTAAGTAAAATGAAAAGAAAAAAAAAAATAATCAGCATATTAAAGCAGCCAGTGAAAAATCGTAACAGCCAAATTCCTAGTGAATCATACTTAGCAAAGCTCACTAACCTTGTCGTCCTAAAAAAAAATGAAGACAAAGAAGGTATACAGATAGTCCTTGACTTACAACCATTCATTTAGTGACCATTCGAGGTTATATCAGCACTGAAAAAAGTAACTTGTGACTGTTTTTCACACTTATGACCACTGCAACATCCCCATGATCACACGATCAAAATTCAAATGCTTGGCAACTGATTCATATTTATGACAGTGGCACTGTCCTGGGATCACGTGATCACCTTTTGTGCCCTTCTGACCAGTAACGTCAATGAGAAAGCCAGATTCATTTAACAACTGTGTTAACAACAACTGTCGTGATTCACTCAACAACTGTCACAAGAAAGATCATAAAATGGGGCAAAACTCACTTAACCACTGTCTCGCTTAGCCACAAAAATTTTGGGCTCAATTGTGGTCATAAATTGAGAACTACCTATGATAATTTACAGATCTTCACAGGGATTAAAAATTCCGATGCAGGGACTGCAATTGAAATGATTATTACATTGTGGATCATTCGTAATTGTTCAGTTAAAAAGAGAATAATGTGTAGTGGGAACTTTTTAATTGCAATCCAATTTTGCTCATATAACATTTCACAATTTTCCATGATATCTTCACTATCCTTTGTCTGATCAAGAACCAAGATTGATTCTTAGTGGTATTTAGAGATAGAAATTCCATATGAAATTCTCATACACTTAAAATAATCTGATGCCAAAGGGAACTCTTGGTCTGAAAAGAAGCAATTTGCTTGTGGGAGAATTATTTCAGCTACTCTAATGCTCTTTTTGGCACTTACCATCGAAGAAAAATACTTACAAATGAAATGATTATTTTTTTAAAAAAACTTTCATTAAAGTATCTACATGACATTTAGTATTAAATAGATTTCTCCAGAGAAGAAAATTCAGCTGAACAATAAAAACCAAACAAATTTCTAACAGCATCTTGGGGAGTACTTCAACCACCAGGGAGGCAATATCTTTTCTAATTGCAAGAAGCAGCTTTGTTTACATCAGCTGTCTTTGTGAAAAAGGAGATCTTCATAGCAGTATTTCTTAACCATATCAACTTTAAGATGTGTGGACTTCACTTTCCAAAATTCCCCAGGCAACATGTAGGCTAAGGAATTCTGGGAATTGGAGTCCACACATCTTAAAGTTGAGAAACTTTGTTTTGTAGAGTTTATGAGAAGCTCCATTCTGAAAGAGCAGACTGCAATTTCCCAGTATTTTATAAAAGTTTTGTTGAATTTTGACAGTGAAAATCTCAAGTCACATGTGGCAATAAAAAAAAAAATCTCTAATGAGGTTTCAGGACATATACTTTTGGCCAAGCTCATTCATTGTCAGTCTTGCCAAAAACGTCAATATATAAAATCTAAGGAAAAAAAATAATATAAGACACTCGTGGAAAGAATCCCCTTGATTCGTATTTTATTTTCTAGAATTGTTATGGCTCTAGCTGTTTTTTTCCATAGTCAGTAGAAGAAATCAATATATGCTTGTGATTTCAGACTCTAGTACTAAATGCCCAGAGGCAAATTCCTTGTGCACAGTCACAACAAAAAAGATATTGCTGATGAATTGCTCAAGTGTACAATAGTGAGGAAGTCCCTGGTGAAATTCTCATGGATCAAACCCCAATCCATCCAGTTGGTTAAAGCATTTGTACATCCACTTGGATTCGGGTCTTTAAAACTGAATGGGACGAAACCAAAAGCATTCTTGTTGTGAAGGATGGACCAGTGAAATTCCAGATCCAAAGACCTAGCTGACTATATTGTCACACAAAGGAGGAAATGACATAACCTCAGTGACATGGCATAGGAGGATTTTAAACCTGTGGAAGGCCCCAAGGAATGTCATTATATTAAAGCCACAATGAAATCTCTACAAGTGTTGCTTTTGTTGATATTCAGGAATGTAAACTGCGAACTACAGTAAGTGGTAAGAGCTATTTACCCTAATCCAGAGAATGGGATCTTTTAACTACATGAAGTGAGTAATGGAAGTTTTATCGTTAGGGTGTAGGGTGTAGGGTATGAATTCAATACAATGACATACAACCAACTAATAGTTTGATTAGAAAAAAAAATGAAAGTTCTTAATAAAAGACTTACACATTGTTATTTGATCTTTCAACCAAGCACCAAGCTACTCCCTTTCCAGTCTTCATATGAAACTGACCCAGAGACAGCTATCTGTACACTGTGTATCACTGACACCTGTGAATGTCCCCGCCCTTTTCATAAAAGAGGAGGGTCCAATGTGCCACCATAGCTTCTTCACCCATTCTTACCCAAACAGAATAGTTTGTTTAAACTTTGCTGATACAGAGATTACAGTAGGAGTTAGTTTTGTCTCTCAAGCTCTCATAGGGGGTAGAGTATACCAGTAAAAGATGCCATGCTGACATTAGAGGTGGGATGAAACCCAACTAGGGAAGAGAAGAAAGCTGGAAATGGAAATAATGGCTGGTGGCCCAAAAGAGCCTTGATAGTACAGTGGTCTAAGCACCGTGTTATTAACACAGCTGCCTGCAATTACTACTGGTTCGAATCTCTCCAAGGCTCAAGGTTGACTCAGCCTTCCATCCTTTCTAAGGTAGGTGAAATGAGGACCCAGTTTGTGGGGGCAATGAGCTGACTTTGTATAAATATACAAAAGTATGAAGGCTATTGCTTAACGCATTGTAAGCCGCCCTGAGTCTCCAGAGAAGGGCGGCATATAAATCAAATTAAAAAAAAAAAAAGCTGAAATGATTGGGTTGCTGGTTTTAATAAAACCCAATAAGGCATGGTAAATCTGGACTGGACTAGTTCTTAGGCAGCTAAAAAGAATGCTGAAAAGAATTGTTTGGACATGATCTGAAGAAGCATGCTGAAGAGGAAGAGATGCTATGCAGAAGGTTTTTGGTGGATTTGAAGATGACAGAAGAGAAGATGATCAAGGGTTTACCTATCATGGGGAAAATAAGCCACGAGATAACAAGTTGCTAATCTGATTGGTGGAGGATGCTACCAATATAACTTTAAGCCCTTTCCTAACTCTAGTTTGAAATACTTTAGTATTTACTACTATATAGAAGGATGTATATGTGCAAGGTGCATACATATCTTAAGTTCATAATATAACCTATATGATTTGTGTTTAAAATGGCTCTGAGCTGGAGTTCAGAGGGGAAAATACTCATTTAATACAATTGCAAGAGACTGTCAGTTGGGAGGATAGAATTGTTCACAAAGAATGCAAAACAATTAGTGAAACTGTGTGACTGTTAAATAAAGTTTGGCTGAAATTGCTTTCTACCATCTTTTAAGTGAATAATAAAGGGGAAAACCACTGGAAAACGGTGCCTCTTTCAATCAGGTCCCTTCAACCCATGTGCCAATCCCATGGCACATTGCCTGTAGAAAGAGCACTCGCACAAATGAAACCCAGTTTTAATTAAACCACTTTATCTGGTGTTATTAAACTTTTTGTCCAATTTTCTGTTGTGATAAGTTATGTAATTGTGATTGATGAATGCTGTTAGCTGATGAAACTGATCAGTTGATTGATTATTTTATTTTATATTTTATTAGACTATTTATTTGTTAGACTAAAATGCCACTTCCTTACACTTTATCCTTGGCCCTCAACAATTAACTTCAGTGCATTCAGGAAAGAGGCTCTTCATTCCTTCATTCCTTAGGAACACCGGTTTTTTTCCTTTGAGACAACCATGACCTGGATGACTGAGAATCTCCACAGAGATTCTGGAAATGGCCATTTGAATAAGCTACAGTTAGTCCCCAATTTATGGCCAGAATTGGGACCAGAAGTTCCAACGTTAAATAAAGCAGCTATTAAATGAAATATGCCCAATTTTACAACTTCTTTTTTGCCATGGTTGTTAAGCAAATCATTGCTGTTAAGTCAACCATGCTCTCTTTTAGCAATTCTGGTTTCCCCCATTGATTTTGCTTGTCAGAAGCTGGCTGGGAAAAGTCACAAATGGCAATTACATGACCTTAGGAGGTTGCAACCATTATAAATACATGCCAGTTGCCAACCACCCAAATTATGATTATGTGACCACGGGGATGCTGTGGAGGTCATAAGTGCGAGGACCTATAGCAAGTCTCTTTTTTCAGTGCCCTTGAAATTGAGAATAATCACTAAAGGAATGGTTGTAAGTCAAGAACTACATGTAAAAGCAGAATGAACCATTTGTAGATCTCCAGTTTGTGGTGTCCCTGTATTCCTCTTGTAGCAGATTCCCTCTGTGTATCCAGTCCACAATGGTATGCTTGCAATTATTTCTCAATATTTTTAGTATGCAGTCTAAATCTTTTTCTTTGCCTGGGCATTTCAAATGGGAAAACAATCATCCTTTATTTGTATGTTTTAAAGTTAACCCAAAGGAAATTTGGAATGGGATTCTATTACTTATTTATAATTTATTTATAAATTTTATTTGCCATCCATCTCACATCCAATGACTCTTCTATAAGTTTTCATAAGAGAAATTGATAACAAATATCCCAAAGGATAAAGATAAGCAAGAATCCACAATAGAACGTTCTTCAGACAGCAGATATCTTGTCTGACAGAGAAACCCTTTGAAGTGAGCTAGTCCCACATTACAGTCACTTTATGGTTGATCTGGAAGCCCCCGGTAACCATTTTGTGAGAGTGCCCACAAAACACGTTCAAAATACCTAAATATGCTCTCCAGCCTCTGCGACAAGATGAAGAGGTTTCGGAATAATATTGTAAATCATAAATAAAAAATATCGTCCATCAAGTTATTTCTTTGAAGCAAAATATAATCTATTACCCATCCGTGAAAATGAATATTGGGGAAATCTCCTCTAACTATGGTGTTGCTTAATATTGCAAATGGTGAAA